AAACAGTTTTTAGGAAATATAAAAAGAGCTATCTTTGATTTAGATAGTTTTAGATAGCCTTTATAGAGACCGAAAAGCTGGTACGATGTCATTTTAACCAAACATTTTTTACGTTTCTACGCGCGACGAGTATACTCGTCATGACACAAAATACTGCCACTTCTCCATGACGAGTATACTCGTCGAACACAGCTGACTGGTTAACATAATAATGAATTGGTTAGTATAATGTTAATTATGTACGAAAACAAACCAAAGGCGCAGCCACAGTAACCGGCTCGACCACCCTAGTCGATTCAAAGATAGAGATGCGAAGACGGGTGTACGGCTGAAAATGCGGAAAATAGGCGAACAGGGCGAGAAAGATCGAAATCGACGCGACAAGCGATAACCGGCGGGTCGCGGTCCCGTTGGCCATTCGGCTCCCAATTCCGCTCGCAGCTCCGCTCGGAGCTCAGCTTCGCAGAGTCGCGTGCCGTCGACGCTTTCGATTTTCCATCCGGTATGGCTTTTTCGTGTTCCGCGGGGCGTAGCGCGTCGCTGAAAGGCGAACGACCGAAACCAGTTTGTCTTCCCGACAGAGCGTTTCGTCGCTGCGTTACACGGTCGTGCTCTCCGATCTCGGAGCGGTCGATGCGAACGTGCACACAGGAAAGCACAGACGAATCCGCGTCCGTGGACGAGCACACGCGGCCGTTGCATAATCTTGGCCGGTGTCGCGGCCGTTTCCCTAAACGACTCGCGGCTAATTGACTTTCTGGGCAGCCGCGGGACGGCCGAAAGGTTTATTACAGTTTTTTTGAACATCCAGCCGGCTCGTAATCCTAATTTTATCCCGCGAGAAGCGATCCCTTGTCCAAACAATCGTACCCGGGCCGCGGCGGTGTTGCATCTTAGAATAGAATTCCGATTGCCGGCGGAAATCGGAAGATTCGGAGAAAGAATATGCAGGTCCGGGGTATACCTAACGTTATGTAAATAATGCTAGCGGCCGGGGGTAGGGCTTGTTATTTTTGTATCGCGCGGTTTGGTTGGGAAACCGCGTTTCCGCCGCAGTCGCGGCCGCGGTCGTCTATTTTCGTGGCCCCTGTCCCCGACTCCTTTCTCACCGGACCCCTTTTCGCCTTTTCGCGAGCCGACCGGTCCGACCCGGCACTCGTATTCGTCTCCCGCGAATCGAATCCGCGGCCCATCCGAAAACAGCCATTAAAGTAATTTACGAGCCACGAATATGACGAGCGGAATAACGTGGAAATATGACCCGAACCCAGCTGCGCCGCCCGGTCCCTGCTTCGCGCCGCCCCGGATCCGTAAAAACCCGAACGAAACTCATAACACTTCCAGCTATGCTTTATTCATTACCGGAACGCGGACCCACCGCGTTTACGGCGCTCGCGAGTTCGCGAACTCCAAAGGAGCCTTGTACGCGATAACTATTCGCCACTATTTTTCCTGTTGTTCCGCGCCTCGCGGGGGATCCTTCTAGTCGAAATATAACTTACGAAGGCAGCTCGTTATTAACGAAACCGTTCCAGCGACATTTCCAGAGTTTATTCCCGGCATAATATTTCGCGGGCCGGATATTTCGTGATTTCGCGCACCGAAATTCGCGAATGAATCATTTAGTGGCGCTAATTCCGGAGAGATGGTTGTCTACGCTTTACATAATGAATTAATGCCAGAAATTCGTCGGTACGTGGGGCTCGGCCCCGGTCGTGCTACATTCGATGCGACGTTAAAAAATTCATAATTTGAAAATGTTAACCACCTCGATTGTAACTCCGTGAGATAGAATTGGTCAATGATGCGCCTGAGCGAATCCTTCTCGACTCGATAATGTAGCAGATTATGCAGCGTTGATCAAGCCACGATTTATTTATCCATTGCGAACGAAGTAGGCGATATGCTCCGAAAGAGCACTCGCTCGTTTCAACAGTGCGTTCATTATCGCTTTCTTACGATTACATTCGCGCAGCCACCGCCGCGTTGTTACGATACGAAGAATGAAAGCTACCTTTCATGGTGTCGAAAACAGAGGGGTGAGAACGGTGCTTAACGCGTTCCGTGACGAGCTGTTTTCGCACGACTTTTCACTCGGACCATCTGACGTTTCGACGAGAGATCGCTTTATTCTACGTAATTATTAATTATTGCATTAAACAAGCTTATTTGCTTCGTTCTGTACAGGATTCTTGTAATATTTATTCCTTTTCGCGGAAACATATTTGCCAGTCCTATTATAAATTACAGCTCAAAGTTTTGATCGCTAATGCTTCGCAGTAGTAGTGTTTCAAATTGCATAATTTTTTACGGTCTAAAGAATTTATTTTCTCTCGACTGTTCTTTTTTCCTTATAAATTCGTAAATCTTATATGCAACAGCTCGATTAAACCGCGGACGGCGGACCATTTTCACAACTGTACTATTCACGAGATGCATTTGTAACAATTTTCTCAGCTTTATTCAGTGATTTTTCATTTCAACATATTTTTCAAGATATTTCTTGCAGAGTGTTGTTTCAAATGTAACAGCAATTTGCTTTTATTTAACACTAGTACCGCCAAACCAGATCTGTTTCTTTTCTCTAATTCTTGATACTACAAAAATCTTATTGCCAGGAATTTGTATGCGAACTTCTTCGTTCGAGCATATATCACAGCAAAAATCGTAGAAAGTTTAAAACAAAATCCAATCTTGTCATTTGTTATAAAACAATATATTGTACGATTACAGCTCGGTGGTTCTATCGTTAATTGCCGAAAATTCGGTAACCAAGTGAACGATTTAAATACTCAAAAGTCAAAATTGACCTAGCGACCTCGCAACGATTAACGCGTTAACCGAAATTTTTTGAGATTGCGATCCGCGGCGTTTTACCTTCTAGCAACAGAGTATGTGAGCGCGTATCGTCGGCGATACATACGTCACGGAACGTGTCAACGGACTATGATTTCATCGACACCTTGTAGATTCGGGTATCGCGTCCAACTCGCATGATTCGCGACTTTTCCGCGCGCATGGCCCGCGAGGTAATTTTAGCAGCGTCACTGTGACGGGAAGAAAATAGCCGCGATATATCGCGTGCGTGGGAACCGGTGTTAACGTACACCCCGGTATGCCATTGATAAAAGTCGGCCATTCTATCTTGGCAAGCACCAGCATTTCGGCCGGTGTCGAATCCTCGAGGATCTATAGATCGCGGAGAATAGCGGAGGACGGCTCTCGGGCCGATGCGAAGAGCTGGGCGGCAACAGCTATTCATTTGTTCAATTAACCGCGGGGACATTAATCGGAATGCGCGTGAATTCTCGGAACGACCGATCGCAGGCCCGTGTAACGAGCATAATAGCGAGCCAAGCAAGAGACGATGCACCATTGCACCGTTGCACTGTTGCACCGTTGCGTTGCATCGCTGCGCGCGGCGCGGCCGTATTGTCGGCCGTTTCCGGGCCGCGGCTACACACCACCCTCCAGATGTACAGTAAATTCTCCCCGATTTTCCTTCAGCTTGCGAACAAAAATGGACAATTTGGAAAGAGGAGATACGATTATTCGAGCCTCGCACTCCGGCCTTTGTAATTGTTGACAATCGGGAACTATAAAAATGAGCCGCGAGGCTCGAATAATCGCATCTCCTTTTCCCAAATTGTTCATTTTTATTTGCAAGCTGACGGGAAATTGGGGCGAGGTTACTGTATTAGGAAATTAAATAAATATGCACAAGCAACGATAGGAAATTGTTATAATTTTTTTAATCCATTTCAAAGTTAGCTAGATCAAACTGTAACAAATACATTACGTTGTTATAAGTCTGTGCGTTGAATCATCCACCGTATTCGCCTGATTTGACCCCGTGTGACTTCTCCCTATTCCCAAAATTGAAATTGAAGTTGAAAGGAAGTTTTATTAATGACATTTCTACCATCAAAACAGCTACAACACGAGCGCTAGAGGCAATTCCACAAAATGGGCTAGAACACGCATTCGAATCACTGTTGAATCGCTGTAACAAGTGTATTGAAACTGGAGGAGAATATTTTGAATAAAAAAAAGTCGAAAAATATTCATATATCTGACTATGTTTCAATGATGTTTTCTTCGGCCAGTCTCGAAACTTATTTGTCGCACTGTGTACGACGTCAATTTAATGAAAGAAAATTCAATTTTCTTTTTGTCGATATACCCACCACGTTTTTTCATTACTTCTTGCACCAAATTCGGCATCCGTTTTATTAGTATTTTTATTATTTTCCATTCTCTTTAGTTCCACGCACTAAGTTCCCCGTATTAAGAAATCATGTCGGGATACGATACGCGTGTCGTACCCAGCAAGGACTACAAAATGTACTCAAGGATAGGTTTTCAATGAACAAAATTCGATGAACGGCTAAGCTAGTCGCATAAGCGACAAACACTTATAACTTAATACGCACAGTAAATTCTCCCGAATTCGTGCTGAGATTGTGCATAAAAATGAACCTATTTGTGATGAGGAGATACGATTATTCGAGCCTCGCGGCTCGTTTTTACAGTTATCGATTGTCAGCAATTGTAAAAACGAGACGCGAGGCTCGGATAATCGTGTCTCCTTCTCCCAAATTGTCCATTTTTGTGCGCAATCTGAGCGCGAATTAGGGAGAAATTACTGTACCCTCGATGATGTGCTTAACACGATGCTACATTGCAGACTTGCAGGCATTATCTAAATTGAACGAAATATTACAATTCCCACCGAATAAGCAGGTGTCCTAATGCATTTTGGTCGGGGGTGCACATCGGACGCGAGTACCGCTGGCAGAAAACGCGCTTCATTAGCGCCACTTTCACTCGTGTTCCGTGTCACCCTTAACGAGCCACCGAGCAGTCGACGAAAAGGGTCGGCGCCCCCGCTCGGAGCCTTCGCGAGGGGCTGAACCGCGCGGTGTTCGCTGAAAAATTGTTAACGCGACCCCCTTGCCCCCCCCTTTTCAACGCATTTCACGATCCACTCTGTGTTACAGCGCCGCTTAGGCTGGTCTGGGCCAACGAGGGCGAGGAAGTCGAATTACCCTGCGACATCACCCCACCCACGCCCAACGACACTGTAAACATGGTGCTCTGGTTCAAGGATTCCGAGGGCATCCCCCTGTACAGGTAATGCCGCAGCCTTTTAATTCATAAAACACATCTCGCAGTGAAATTTCCGGGGTTCATTTGTGCGTGTCTCGAGCACGTTTACACGCATTTTTAATTACCGAAAAAGATGAGATTCGTGGTATTGGATGCATCGAATCATAGTCCAGTTTGAAAAACGTCGTGACATGGTACCCATGATTGCGGCCATTTTTATTTAGTTATTTATGTATGTATGTATTTATTTATTTATTTATTTATTTATTTATTTACTGGACGGGCTGTGGAGACCTAACGTACAATATAAATACATAAGAAAATAATAATCGACATACAAAACTAATATATGGACGTCTGATTTGAGTACTCGTTTACAATAAAATGTTAACTTAGATTTTGTTTATCCGAAGTGGAAAGGTTTACGGATATCGTCAAAAAATTTTTAATTTAAATAAATTAAAATTCAACATTTTAATTTTCAGATTGTAAAGGTAGATTTATGGGTCATTTATTCGTCATTATTTGCGTCAAATGTTACGATAACACTCGTTAAAAAGTAGAATAAATGTCTTATATTGTTACTTTTATAAATTAATGTAAAAACAGTTGCTTTAAGTGAACCGTAAATCTAGTATTATTTAGTATGATTTTGCCCATAGAGGATACCAGGACGAATGAAAAAAGTTGTAATCCCTCAACGTTTCGAATGCACTGTTTTAATTACATAAAAATAGAGATGATCTCTCAAAAGAGAGTCTGCTTATCTGCCAGCCTGCCTCTATGGATACGATGCAGTGCGCTAGGACGAACTAATTACTGCTGGAACTTCATTCGTTATAACCTCTGTTTACTCTAGCGTACATCGGTATACATGTATTTTAGGCGTAATCCGTTCCAGTTGCGGAATCCGGGCTCTATTTCCTAGAGCGCTGCCAATTTGGCCGTTTACATTGGGAAGGTCTCATAGGAGCAATAGGTGTAACGTTTAGCTCTTCTGATTTTTTATACGCGATTCGGGACTCGTTTTATTGGATTATCAATACGTAACTATGTGTAACGAATTTATCGTTCGTTAGCGAAAATAATAAATATCGTTCTGATATCGAATGGTCGAACTGGGTTTAATGTTGGTCTCAAAACTTTAAACCATATACAGGGTGACCGATTTAAATCGATTGAGTCAAATATTTTCGAAACCGTCGATGATGCGAAAAAATGTTTCAAACAAAATTTGAATAATTACAGCACGCGTAATCTGGTATTAATAAAATTTTTCTAGGTGGACGCGTCGAAGACATACGAAGGTCAACCTTATTTTTTAAAAGTGGAATCACATATTTTTTTATTATACTAGTCGATTCAGTTGGTCATTCTCTTCGTAAAAATACTAAGGCATTCATTGCGAAACATCATTGGTTTAGAAGATATTTTAAATTTAGTAATGCACAGTGTTAGCACTCAACTATCCGAAGTTGGTGTTAAAAAATACGACCTTCAACCTTAACACTTTAATGACCTCTCAAAAGATATTAAAATTCAAGTATCTCCTAAACCCCCCAATGATTTTTCGCAATAAATCCCTCTTTCAGAATTGCAGATATATTTTATACTAGCATAGCTTATTCTTGTAATAAGTCTTGTACCTTCTGACGTCACGTAGATGATTTTATCTTTGCCTAAAGAAAACTATCTGAAGCCGTGTCTATAAATATATATATGTATGTATAGAAGGGTCTGTCCGTAACAGACCAGAGATAAGAGCTTTTCCTTTCAGGATTCCAAAGTCAGTCGTTGCTAGAGATTCACTCGATAAAAAGCTTCCTCGCGCTCACGTGCGGTCTAATGAAGACATTTTTACAGCAGAAAGTGCTGGCGTACATTTCATTTTATACCCCATTCCGATGGGTTTCGATCACTCGGTGATCCCGCGAAGCTTTCGAAACGGTGCGATTGATCGAAAAAACGGTGAACTGTAGCCTCGGCGAGTTCGCAACACTGTCATCGCCGTTTCCCGGCTGGCGTTTCGCGCCGACGTCCCGTCGTTTCCGCGTCCCAGCGAACTGACACCGAAAGAAGAATGCTCTGCCGGGCCTCGAACCACCGGATCTCGGTCACGCTTAATATTCGTGGATGCCATTGTTCTGAGATCGCATCTAGAAATATCTCGACCCAAGCCACCGGAATAGAGTCTCTCTCTCTCTCTCACTCTATTTCTATCTCTATCTCTCTCTCTGCACTCTCTCCGCTATTGTGCACCTTTAAACGCATTGCGGTCGCCGCCGAGAATACCAGGCACCGAAACCTGGCCAACGTCCTGCTGGCCGTTGGTCGCACACCGAAACCGGAATTATATCCGGATACGAAACTCTTCGAGAGTTGTCCGGCTGTCATGTCGGTCGGACGGAGCGCGCGATTAATCGCCTGGCATCGAAAGATATATCGAGGCAGAGATAAACAAACATGCCGATCCTTTCCCCGAGTTTCGTGGATGTTTGCCGTTCGCCAGGCGAAATTTCTGAATGACGGCGCGCCCACCGAAATAGATCAACCGATCGAACTTCGTCGCTGACAAATCCAAGCGGCGCAGTCCGGAGTTCGTTTATTTACCAAGAGCGGCGCAAGTTCGCCCGTAAACCGAGGCATTCGGTTCCCGGCGGCCCTGCATAACGTTGCGGAAACACCGAGAGATTCGGCGCATGCCGTTTTGCCTTGGTGCCTTTCTTTTTAACACTATGCCGTCCGGTGGCACCACGCTGGTGCCATGCAAGAACTATCTGTTGTATGCCGGTGGTACCACTTTGGTGCCATTTTAAATAACTGAAATAACATTTGAACTATATTTCTTGGGTGTTAGATGGCAGCAAACTAACTATAGCATCGTGCTTATTTAACTAAGAATTAAGTACGACAATTCTTGGATGACATATCTTAATTTTAGGAATTTATATTACCGCCATCTTCGAAACTTTTTTCTTAATCTAAAATCTCCGAGCTATTATGCCGGCGTCAAACTAAAGAATCATATATAAGAACTGCGGACGGCATAGTGTTAATATTGGGTTGGCAACTAAGTAATTGCCGATTTGTTCAATGAAATAAAAAATTTTTTTTACTTGGAACGAAGTTTAATCTGTAATGTATTTTCCATTTTGTTCGATGACCTTTCGCCATCTCTCCGACAACTTGAAAATTCCACGCTCGTAGAAAGTCTGATCCTTTTCGGCCAAAAACTGAGTTAACACGTTCCGTGCCACGTGTACCATCGATGGTACACGCTTGCATGTTTACTTAGTGAACTGAACAAATTGTTTACAAGAAATTTAGAACCGAAGAATCAATTTCCACCGCAAGAATGGGCGTTGATAAGTTTTTGTTACGTTGTTACGTGTACGAGAATTAATAATTGCACGTAATACATCAAGTTTTAGTAAAATATCAAAGTGTGAAGATTCGAGTAAAAAAAGCTCGGCACGGAACGTGTTAAGTGAGATTTTACAGCGTCATCATCGTTAACAGTTTTACCACGAAGGGAGTTGTCCAGGGATCGAAATAAGTGGTAATCCGATGGCGCGAGATCGGGGCTATATGGTGGGTGTAACATCAATTCCCAACCAATATCCAT